TCACATAGAAATAGCATTCTGAATTCTAACTTCTAGCCCTCTAAATGGAGATATTTTCTATTTATTAAAGCCATCCACTTACAGTAGTTCTGTTAGAGACAGTAGGTAACTAAGACAATTTTTCTTTGATTGTGATTGAAAGTTTATAAATCATACTGTTTTTTCATTCAATTATTCATATACATTTTATAACATTCATTAGTTATTATTGTTGTTGATTGCCCTTGAGTCAAGCATAACTCATAATGACCCTATGAACAAAAGGCCTGAAGCCTTTCTATAGCTATTGGCATTTATCAAAGTTCATAGAGTTTCCAGAGGCATGTTGTTTAGGAAGTGGATGCCACTCCTGCTTAAACTGGGAGTTCCACCAAACACTGTCCAGCATGGGTTACTGTTACAGCATTTGATAATCCAGTGGCACAACATTTAGCATCACAGCAACCCCAGGTTACCTCACTTAGAAGAATGTTCTAGTGTTTTAATGTAGCTAATTACACTGTTGTAGCTAATGTTAGATGGATCTTGGCTGAAAGCAAGGAGTACCAGAAAATGTCTATCTTTGTTTCATTGATTACGCAAAGGCATTTGACTGTGTGGATGATAACAAATTGGCTAACTCTGAGAAGAATGAGAATCCCAGAACACTTGATTGTGCTAATGCAAAATCTATACTTGGACCAGGAGGCTGTCATCAGAACAGAGAAAGAAAATACTACGTGGTTCAAAATTGGGAAGGGTGTACGCCAGGGCTGTGTCCTGTCTCCATACTTTTTCAGTCTTTATGCAGAACAGATTATGCGGAAGACTGGGATCTATGAGGAGAAATGTGGCATCAGGATTGGAGGAAGAATCAACAATCATTGTTATGCAGATGACAAAACCCTGCTTCCTGAAACTGAGGAGGACCTGAAGCGCTTGCTGTGGAAGGTCAGGGACTGCAGAAAACTAAGATTCAAGAAAACAAAGATTCTTACCACTGGGCCGATTGGCAGCATCATTAATGGATGGTGAAGAGGCTGAGATTGTTCACAGTTTTGGTTTGCTTGGCTCCACAGTCAACACTCTTAGCACCAACAGTCAGGAAATTAAAACTGTGATGGGAAAGTCTGTGGTTAGAGACCTCTCTAAAGTACTGAAGTGCAACGATGTCAGTCTGGAGACTAAGGTGCGCCTGATACATGCCATGACCTTTTCAGTCACTTACTATGCATCAGAGACCTGGTCAATGACTAGGGGTGATAGAAGGAGAGTTGATGCCTTTTGAGCTGTGGTGTTAGAAAAGAGTATTTTGAATATACTATGGACTGCTAAGAAAATGAACAGGTTTGTACTGGAGAGGGTGAAGCTGGACTGCTCCTTAGAGGCAAGGATTCTGAAGCTTCGTCTTACATACTTTGGACATGTTGCAAGGAGAGACCAGTCTTTGGAGAGGGACGTCACGATTGGGAGGGTAGAGGGACAGCGCAGGAGAGGAAGACCCTTGATGAGATGGATTGATTCAGTGACTGGGCTAATAGGGGTAGGTGTGTCAGAGATTGTGAGATTGGCACAGGATAGGGCAGAGTTTCGGGCTGTTGTACATAGGGTTGCTATGAGTCGCAGGCACATAACAGCAACAACAATTACAATGGCTGACCAAACCCCTTGTATGTTACCTTTCCTTTCACTCGAATTAATGTCTATTAATTTTTTATATCTTCTTTTCTTATAACCATCTAAGGATGATTATACTTGTATGTGAAGCTTACCTTAGCTTTTTATAATAGTGGTCATCTGAGATGGTTTTCAACTACACCAAGTGACCAGTTGGTCTCTTTCTTTCCTTCTTTGCTGTCTAGTTGGAACTGACTCATTGCTGACCCTCCATTGAGTTTCTGAGGCTATAAATCACACAAGAAGAAATTGTTCATCTTTTTCTCGTGGAGCCTCTGATGGATTCAGACCACCAAAGAGGTGTGGCTTTTGTGTTAACACAACTCCTTATGGACTGTTGTTAGATATCATCAAGTTGTCAGTAGTAACTTATGAAAATATACTCAACATCATAAATCGTCAGGTAAATTCACTAAAATACGACTTCATACCCACCAGGATGATTCTTTCTAAAAAAGTGGATCCAGAAAGGAAAATGACAAGTATTGCCTGTGGTGTAAAGAACTTTGAAACCTCATGCATTGCTAATGGGAATACAAAATGGTCTGACCATTGTATACAAACTCTATGGTTCCTGAAAAAGTTGAACATACAGTTACACCTTATGACCCAGTAATTCTTCCTCAAACTCTTTGCTGTTGGGTCTGAACCGACTCATAGCTGCTGACCCACCATTGGGGTTTTGGAGGCTATAAGTTGCATCAAAGGAGATTACTGGTCTTTCTTCGGTGGACCTGCTGGTGGGTTCAGACTGCCAGAGGTGCTGCCTATTGGTTTGCAACACAGCTCCCTATGGACTGTAGTGCCAAAACTCTGCAAAGTAATAGCAATATAGGATAATACTCAATTAAAAAAAAAAGAGTGCTACAGTGCCAGTTAAACCTTTTGTTCTGGACTTTATAGGAATGCTCTCATTTAGAAATTCTTAGCTGTACCTGACTAAATCACATATACGTAGGGAGATTATAAGGAATCTTACAATATTTTCTCACTTCTACCCTTAAACGTCTTATATGCAAGAGAAGGAGGAAGAATAACCTACTAAAGTGACTGAAGATGTTTTCTTTCTATTTTTTCTGAAAAAATATTTGATAGATTAAAAATCTTGGACCTGTATAGTATTCAACTATGAATTAAGAAAATCATGTAACTCAAGTGGGCCCAAGTGTTTGGTTTACTCTCCACTAGAAAATTAGTCCCTTAGGTTATGCAGTCTTTCATCATAGTTTTACTTAGAAGAATAAGGTAACTGTCCTGTTGTATTTGGTAATAAATGCGCTTGACTCTTGGCAAGTGTCCATCTCAGTCACTTAGAGTAGAAGTGTGCTCATTCAGGCTTTCTGATAGAAACTGTCAGTGGCCACAACTAGTCAACACAGACCACAATCATTATGTTAGCATGTTTTATTGGCAGAATGGAGAATGTCCACCCTAGGTAAGTCAGTGAGCAGAGGTGTGTTTTCTATTTTCCTTCTGTTTTGGACTCTTCTTGCTTCCAGTCTTGCCCCTACATAAAACTCTGTGATGACTATTCTTATACATTCATGTTTGTTTATAGATATTAGAACAGATTGATAGATATAAAATGGTTGAGTCAAAATATTTCCATTTAGAAACTTTGTGCCTATTGCCAAATTGTCTCTGAAGCACTTGCACCAGTATACTTTGATGTATGAGTATGTCTCTTTCCCCAAACCTTTGCTACCTAGGGTAGTATCAAAATTTCTGATGTTTACCTATGATACTAGTGAAACCAACCGTGTGTGTTAGTGGTCTCCAAGACCATCTTCAGATTCAGTGACTTGTAAGAACTCAGAAGACTGCATATGGTTGTGTGTATGGCTATAATTTAGTATAGGAAACCAGTGAAAAGTAAACAACAGAAGGGAAAAGGTCTATAGGGTGAAACTGGATGAAAATAGAGACAACTTCCCAAAGTCCTTTCCCAGGGGTGGTACACTGGATGTGCTTACCCTTTAGCACCGAGTTATGACAATGTGTGTAAGGTTGCCAGCCAAGCTCATTAGTGTCCTGGGGGTTTTTGGTTGGTTGTTTGTTTTTTTATTAAATTTTATTAATTTTAATGAACATTTACAGAGATTTTGGGTTTTCATTCATTCATTGTTGCACTTGTCCTGGGTTTTTTATGATGAGTAGTCAGGTAGGCTCTACCTGGCATGTATCAAAATTTAGACTCTGAGAACAAAAGTATATGCTTAGCATAAACCATATTGCATAAACAGTTGTATAAACAGTTTACAGTTAGGCACAATGAGTTACTTTTGTCATTTCTGAGATTGGTGGAAACCCTCTGAAAGTGTTTTTCAGATTTTCAAATACCAGCTGAAAGCTAATTTTGTAGGCAGTTATTTCTAAGGATATCTGCTTTAACTCTCTTATTAATATAGCATTGTAGCTACTTACTTAATTTACAGTTCCTTAATGATGAAGTTAAATATTTTTGTGTGTGTTTCAGTGACTATTCTTACATATATATGAGTTGTCTCTTTGCCTATTTGGTATATTTCTTATTTAGTATGTATACATATTGGTGGTACTGGTGATAGATATTGGCTTATTTTTAGCACAAAAATAATCTGCATTTTAGTCCACTTTCTAAAATCAACTTAATTACCTTGTGATACAGCTTAGAGGAGCTCTTGGTGGTACTGGTGATAGATATTGGCTTATTTTTAGCACAAAAATAATCTGCATTTTAGTCCACTTTCTAAAATCAACTTAATTACCTTATGATACAGCTTAGAGGAGCTCTGGTGGGTCATTCTTGTTGGTGTGGCCATGTCAGAATTGATCCTCCAGCGGGTTTTCAGAGGCTGTAAATCGCATAAGAGGAGATTGTCTATCTTTCTGGAGCAGCTGATGTATTCAAAGTTGATGTCTTTGGGATTGTAGCACAGCTTCTTAATACTAGTCCTCCAGAGCTCACTTAGTGGTGAGGAATTGTGCTGCTAATAGAAACATACCTGGTTCTATTCCACCAACTACTCCATGGGAGAAAGATGAACGGTCTCCTCCCATGCTATTTACTGCTCCTTAAAAACATGCTGGTGGGTCGACTGTGGATCATTTCTGACTCGATGGTACGCACCAACAACATAGCTTAACCATGTTAGCAAGTTGAAGATTTTCTTTTTAAACTTTTGCCCTTTGATTGAAAAATGATGCACATTTTCTTTTCATAGGTCTACTTTTAAGAAGTTAGGGAACTCTGTGTTCAAGTTGAAAGCTGTTTTTTTGGGGGGTTTAATATAAAGTTAGGCTTATTCTCTGAATTGTAAGATTGCTTTTAACAGTGGTAAATATTTTAATATGTTAGATGGAGACTATCAAAAGGAAATAGGATCATGGCAGCAGATGATGACAATGGTGATGGAACAAGTTTATTTGGTGTCTTTTCTGGTAAGACTTAATATTTTAATTTAAGCTTTCTAATTTTATTTTTTTATGTATAAAATTATTTACGCTTAACAATTGTCCCCCCACATAAATGTATGCTGCATTGGGAACCCTTAGTAAATGTGACTCTTTTAAATGCCTCTAATTGTGTTTAAATTGGGATTTCACAGATACAAATGGGAGTATTATTTATTGTTCTATCTAGAAAAATACCAAGTAGATATTTGTTGCTCTTCAAATTAATATTTCTAGTAACTGCAAGAATATTTATTGTTGCTCAGGAGAAATTTAGTAAGTCACAATGAAAGAATTATTTGACAGAGAAATAACCAAGACTAGAGTCAATCTGTGTAACATCATTTAACTTACAGACAATTGTTCCTTACTCTTTATTTTACAGACAGTTGCTTTTTATTCTTGATGTTACATTACCTTCAGCTGTCTTTGAAATGATTGCTCCCCACAAATTCTTCATTGTGGTTGCCTTCACTGGTTGCAAGTGTTGCTTTTAAATTATTGAAAAGTCTTGGCACCTTACACTAGTGGCTAAATAAGAAAGATTTGCAAATGTTGCAATTTACTTACAAATTTGATTTATTTTTTAATTGATTGGGATTTTATGTTCTCGTAAGGATATTTAAAAAGAGAAGCTAATCTTCATTATTATAATTTTTTGAAAAGATGATCATGACACTTAAATAATTATAATCACATAAATGTGTAAAAAGGATACTTTTCATAGTTAAATTGACAAATAATCTCTCTGTTCCTGTGCATGGTAATCATTATTGCTTTAAAGTGATAATAATTACTTGGATATCAAGTGATATATATTGATAAATAAATTTGTACTTCCTTTTTTAAAACTAAAAAACCACATGTCATACCACTCACTCCCAAGTGTTTCAGAATAGAAGTAAGTTTTACAGGGCTTTCTTCTGTTTTAATAAAAATCACCAAACCTGGAACTGTTATTGATTCCACCTCTTAGTGACACTAGGACAGAGTAGAATGCCCCTATAGAATCTTCAAGACTGTAATCTTTGTGGAAGCTGGTTGCTATGTCTTACTGTGATGGAGCAGCTGGTGAATCCAACCACCATCCATTTGGTTAGCAGTTCAGTGCTTAAATACTGTGCCAGCAAGGCCTTTTTTATTTATATGTAATTTAATTTGTTGTTGAGACTATAAAGAGCAAAACATACACCAATTCAACAGTTTTCTTCTCTATTGGCATTTCTTCATTGATATTTTTGAGAATTAAAAAGATAATTTAAGAATTTTAGAATATTACTATATTTTTTAAGTTGTATAAGCATTCTTACTGTCTTTTTCTAAACTCTCCAGTCCCTCTCAAGTTAGGTGGTGATTTACAAAATCATTGCTTCTGCGTGCTGCATAGTATTCCATCATGTGAATGTACTATAATTTCTCAATCCATTCAATTGTGTTTGGACATTTGGGCAGTTTCCACCTTTTTTATAATGGTGAATAAGGAGTATTTTTAATAATATTTAGACTGTCAATTTTAAAATCTTGTTAAGAAATTTATATTCTAGGCAAGCTCTGGTGGCCTAGTGGCAAGAAGCTGCACTGTAATCCCAGAGGTATGCGGTTCAAATCCACCAGATGTTCTGCTGGAGAAGGAGGGGCAGTCTCCCCCTGTACCAGTCAGATGATTTGACGGTACCCACACACACACACAAAAATTATATTCTAATTTTTTTTGTCTTAATTGAACCACTGGACCAATTGGCAGCATCAGGATGGATGGTGAAGATAATGAGATTGTTCGAAACTTTAGTTTGCTTGGCTCCACAGTCAACACTCTTGGCATCAGCAGCAAGGAAATTAAAAGACATATTGCGATGGGAAAGTATGCTGTTAGGGACCTCTCCAAAGTACTGAAGAGCAATGGTGTTTCTCTGGAGACTAAGGTGCATCTGATAAACGCCATGGTCTTTGCAATCACTTGTTATGCATCAGAGTTGCACAATGACTAGGGAAGCTAGAAGGAGAATTGATGCCTTTGAGCTGTGGTGCTGGAGAAGAGTATTGAGTGTATCATGGACTGCTAAAAAAACAAACAGATTCATCCTGGAGAGGGTTAAATCAGGCTGCTCCTTGCAGGATTCTGAGGCTCCGTCTGACATACTTTGGACATGTTGTAAGGAGGGACCAGTCCTTAGAGAGGGTCATCATGCTTGGGAGGGTAGAGGGACAGTGCAGGAGGGGAAGACTCTCTATGAAGTGGATTGATTCAGTGACTGGAGTAATTGGGATGAGTGTGTTGGAGGCAGTGTGATTGGCACAGGATAGAGCAGGGTTTAAGGCTGTTGTACATAGGATTGCTATGAGTCCAAGCGACTCGATGGTACATAACAACAACAATTGAAATTATGCTATGACAGCTTCGTTATGTGTCTTGAAGTTGTAGAAATACACTTACCAGAATTATGATCACTACAATAATTAATGAAAAAGTTTTCTTAAAACCGGAATAGAATTTAATTTCTTAAAAATAGTATTTGGTACTTCACCAAAGAAGACATTCAGATGGCCAACAAGCACATGAAGAAATGTTCAAAGTCCCTAGCTCAAAACAACTATGAGATATCATCCCACCCCAGTAAAAATAGCAAAATATAACAACAGCAAGCAACAAATGCTGGCGAGGATGTGGAGAAACTGGAACTCTTATTCACTGTTGGTGGGAATGTAAGATGGTGCAACCATTGTGGAAGGCGGTGTGGCGCTTTCTCAAAAAATTGCAAATAGAGATACCATTTGACCCAGCAATCCCATTACTGGGAATATACCCCAGAGAGACCATGTCTGCCATCCAAGCAGATATATGCACACCCATGTTTATTGCAGCTTTGTTTACAATAGCAAAGAGTTGGAAGCAGCCTAAGGGCCCATCAACAAACGAATGGACAGAGAAGCTGTGGTATATCCACACAATGGAATACTATGCAGCATTGAAAAACAAGACACTCATACAATATTATTCAAAGTGGGTGACCCTGGAGGACATTATGCTGAGTGAAATATCTCAGTCACAAAGGGACAAATACTGCATGGTGCCACTGTTATAGAATGGGTCTGACATCAGGGTGGGGGTATGACAGAAAAAACTGGATAAATTATGCATATTGTATTGCAACAGATGAGGGAAAGAACAGATTAGAAGTGATATATGATTGAGTATTATGGTTAGCACAGGAATCCAGAATTAAGGTTGCATAGAGAAGTGTACTCAGGGTGGGGGGTGGGGGGAAGGGACGTGGCAATTGTATACTAATGAAGGAATTTTTTTCTTTTTTCTTTTTTTCTCTCTTCGGAGGGGGAAGCGAGCTGGTGGGGAGGGGTGGGCAGGGAGAAAATTGCGGCAATGAATGAATGGAAATCCAAAACCTCTGTAAAAAAAAATAGTATTTGGTAACAAATAATTCATACATGTAGAAATATTTACACTTAAGTATTCTCATCATATCCTTCCTTGGTGCCATGGCCTCTCCCAAAGCCTGTTTGAACTTCTGACAGTTCCCTATCTATGTGCTGTTCTGTTTTTGAATGCTCTTCAGTATTTTGCTTGAATGTGATATTAATGATACTGTTCGATAGTTTCCACATTCAGTTGGATCACCTTTTTTGGGATTAGGAACAAATATGGACTTCTTCCAGTCTGTTGTCCAGACAGCTGTCCTCCAACTTTCCTGGCATAGACTCACGAGTACTTGCAAGGCTGCATCTGTTAGTTGAAACAATCAGTTGGTATCCCATCGATGCCTGGGGCCTTATTATTTTTTTTTTAAATTTTTTGCTAATGGTATCAATGCAGCTTCCACTTCCTCCTTCATTACCATTGTGTCCTGTTCATATGGAACCGCCTCAGTTTTTTCAGTGTTAATCAGTTCTTTCTGGTACAGTGATTCTGTGTATTCCCTCCACCTAGTTTTGATTGAGAAGGGAGTGCATCAGTGTTGTAGTCTCTCTCCATACCTGTTCAGTCTGCATGCTTAGCAAATTATGTTAGAAGCTGGCCTCTATGAAAAGGAGTGTGGCATCAGGATTGGAGGGAGACTCATCAATAAGAGAATTGACTATACCATCGACCGCAAGGAGGACAAACAGGTTCATCCTGGAGAGGATGAAACCATCCTGCTCTTTGGAGGCAAGGATCCTGAAGCGTCATCTGACATACTTTGGGCATGTTGCAAGGCGGATCTGGTGTTTGGAGAGGGACATCATGCTTGGTGGGTGGAAAGACAGCACAAGAGAGGAAGACCCTGGAAGAGATGGATTGACTAAGTGACTGGGATAATGAGAGTGGGTGTGTGAGAGACAATGAGGTTGTCTCAGGATAGGGCAGGGTTCAGAGCTGTTGTGCATAGGGTCGCTATGAGTCATTAAGAACTTGACAGCACATAACAACAAATCTTAATATTTAAAACATTTTTAACATATTTAGCATTATGAATCTATATACTGAAGCCTTCCTGTTTATCACAATGTAGAAAAACTTATCTTTTTTGGTGTAAAAGATGAAGTATTTCTCTTTTTATCGGCTTTGAAAGTAGGAATTGATATACCTCACTAAGTTCAAGAAGTTAGTTTTAACTAGTTTTTGCTTTTATTGCAGCTTCTCCTCTTAATAAGGATGAAGGCTCTTTGGACATATATGCTGGATTGGACAGTGCTGCTTCTGGTATGTCGATTCTATAAAATAGTTTCATTTGATTTTAAGAATATCTGTTTTTCTTTGAATAGCACCTAAATAATTTGCCCATTCTTGAAATGACTGAAAGTGCTAAAGCTGAGGAGGACCTGAAGCACTTGCTGCAGAAGGTAAAAGACTGCATCGTTCAATAAAGGTTCTCACCACTGGGCCGATGGGCAGCATCATGATAGACAGTCAGAGACTGAGGTTGTTAACAGCTTCCATTTGCTTGTATCCATAATCAGCTTCCATTTGCTTGTATCCATAATCAACATTCTTGATACCAGCAGCCAGGAAATCAAAAGATGAATTGCATTGGGAAAGTCTGCTGTCAGGGACCTTTCCCGAATACTGAAAGCAACGATGGAAGTCTGTAAACTAAGGTGTGCCTGATCCAATTGCATCAGAAAGCTGGATAATGACTAGAGATGATAGAAGGAGAATTGTTGCCTTTGAGCTGTGGTGTTGGAGAACTGTATTGAATATACCATGGATTGCTAGGAGAACAAACAGGTTCATCCTGGAGAGGGTGAAACCAGGCTGCTCCATGGAGGCAAGGATTCACAAGCTTCATCTGACATACTGTGGGCATGTTTCAAGAGAGGACCATTCCTTAAAGAGGAACATCATGCTTGGGAGGGTAGAGGGACAGCGCCAAGAGAGGAAGACCCTGAAAAAGATGGACTGACTCAGTCACTGGGATAATGGGAGTGGATGTGTCAGAGACAACGAGGTTGGCTCTGGATAGGGCAGGGTTAAGAGCTTAGGGTTTATATATAGGGTTGTCAGGAGTTGCAAGTGGGTCGAAGGCGCATAAAGTAACAGCTATTATTTTCTTGCCCAAAGGTTGATCAGTAAAAAGAAATTATTGTGTATATTTGGTAATCATCTAGGTCTGATTTAATTGGACCTTGTAGAAATAATATTTTGTAATGCAACTAGGGAGGATGTTTGTACATGAATTGTTGCTCACACTTTCAGTACATACATTACATTGTCACAGATTATATTATAAAGTTTGAGAAGGGTAGATGTTGTTTACTTTCAAGTAGGAACTGACTCATAGCTGACCCTCTGGCAGGTTTTCAGAGGCAGTAATCGCATGGGAGGAAATTTCCCATCCTTCTGTGGAGTGCCTGGTGGCCTCGAACCGCCTGCCATCGGGATTGCAGCACAGCTTCTTGCCATTAGGCCACCAGAGCTCCCAATACATCATTACTCACATTGTCACAGATTATATTATAAAGTTTGAAAAGGGTAGATACTGTAAATATTTTCAAATGAGTCAGTAAGTTTATAATGGGCAGGGTCTAGAGGCCAGTCTACATTAGAAATCCGTTTCATAATCGCATCATTCAAAGTTTTAAACCATCATGATTCTCACATCTGATTTGTTGACAATGAATATTTTAGATAGATTGGTCTTCCAACTCTCATCTGTGAAGTCAGTGTTTTGTTGGATAATATACTAGCAGTGACACAATATAAAACATAGCATGTATTTTAATGCAGTTGGTTTTGTTTTTGTTTTAGACATTCCTTTCACATCCTCTGTACCATCCAGAAATTGTTTGGATTTATATGAAGAGATCCTGACTGAGGAAGGAACTGCAAAGGAAGCAACATATAATGATGTATGATTTTCCATAATTATTAAGAACAGTTATTATACTTTTTTAATGACTCCTAAAGTACAAATATCTGCTTAGTAGATATTCTGTATTTAAAATCTAGCTTTTTTATGAAAAGAATGTTTAAGTCAGTTTGATCTTCAGGTTTTTTTAAAAGAATGTTTTGTGTATGCTTGTCAAAATTCACTTTTGACAAAAAATTCACTTTTGTTTTTTTGGATTAAATTTAAATGTTTGAAGTCTGTAAAACCTCAACAGGCACTATGTGTGATTCAGCATTTTTATCTGTTCATGACTTTTCACTAAATCATATTGTATGTTGCATAAAATGTCTTGAGGAAATTTTTTCATGCTTTATTTGAATTTTAAAGCTTTGTTATTAAATGTAAAGCTAAACAAAATGTGTTATTAAGTAGACTTAGCTTTAAAAACCAATACTCTTACTCTTTTTACCAGTACAAGTGGACCTCATCTACTTTTCTTACTGAATTGATCAGTTTTTCCCCCAAAATTGTACTTATTAGCTCTATTGACTTGAATGCTTGATAAAAATTTAAATATTTTGAAATGTCATTTAAAAGCACTTAATTTAGAATGATGATTAAATGAATCCTTTTCTGTTTTACAGTTGCAACTAGAATATGAAAAATGTCAGCTGCAGATGAAAGAACTGATGAGAAAGTATAAGGAAATACAGACACAGGTTGGAGTATAGTGAACATTTTATTTTTGTCTTTCAAGAAAATGTTTTTTGTTATAAATGGAAATTAAAATGCTAAAGTGTTAGTGTATAAAGAGTTGTTTTATTATTAAATGAAATGAGTGTTGTGCAAGGTGCATTATTTCCTTATTTGATGAAATGAATATTAGAAAACTGCTCATTTTATTAAATCTCTCATAAAGGCTTTTTTAGACTTATCCTATTAATAGTTAAGTAATAGGAAACTTATAGGGTTGATTAACAGTGCTTCAAAAGAATGGTTTCAGAACCAAAGAGTTAGAAAGGGCTTTGTAGGAAAACAATTACTACCTTCCACATTTTTGCCACAGTAACCCTTTTTGTGAGGTGAACTTGCTGCAGAAATTAGGATTTCATATGATATCTATGTATATATATATATAAAAGTTCCTGTGTGCTTCCCAGTGAATTAGTCTAGATTCATTCTTTGTTCATCTGAGATTAATGCATTATTTCAGTCTATTGTAAGTTGTTAGATCAAATAAAATTTTGACACTTTTTCATTTGTAGGGTAATGACCTTAATGAAATTCTTTTTCCTGTTGCTTACTTTTAAATTTTGTTCCCTAACTTTTTAAGTACTTTAGTGATTGATAGCTGATGCCAGTTATCTTCCCTGAATCTCAACATGCCCATCTGTATAATGGGGATAGTTCTACATTTTGTGGGGCTTTTTCTGGGAATGACAGAAGATAAAATGTCTGAGGCCTTGGACTGTTGTTGTGTTGCCTTTAGGCTAACTATGACTCACAGTAACCATCTGAACCACAGATTGAAACTGTGCTCTATCTTGCACTATCTTCACAATCTTCCCAGCTCCATTGTTTCAGTCACCGTGTCAATCTATCTTATTAAGCATCTTCCTGTGGTTTTTGGGGTTTTTTTCCCCTATGGTATAATGGATTATTTTTTTATTAATTTTAATGAAAGTTTACATAGACTTTGGATTTGCATCTTCCTATCTTTCACAGGTCCTCGGGTCTGTCTTTCATTGTTTTTGTTCAAACATTCCTCTAGGTCATATAGCCCTGGTGTGTCCACTTGCCATAGAGCGGTAACTTGTGTTTGCTGTGAGGCCAAAGACTGTGACACCAATTTGTCAAATGCATTAATGGTTGGTTTCCCAATATGGACAGAGAGTGGGGTGAAGATCCCCAATTAAAACAAGCTTGGAAGGAGGAGTGGCATCCACTTCTGTAATAGCTTGCCTCTGGAAATCCTATGAACCTGGAGAGAGGATGAAAGACACCCAAGCATTGAGGACTCTCCTTCATAGGGTCTCTATGAGTTGCCTGTGACTCGACAGCACTTAACAACAACAACAACAATATTTCACTGACTCTACTTTTCTAAGCACTGCTTTTTCAAAAGACTGGCTCCTACTGATAACATGCCTAAAATATGTGAGTCCCTTTCACCATACTTGCCCCTTCGGAGCATCCTGATTATAATTCTCTACAACAGATGTTGAGAGTACCAGAAGAATGTCTATCTGTGTTTCATTGACTATGCAAAGGCATTTGACTGTGTGGATCACAATGAATTGTGGCTAACCTTGAGGAAAATGGGAATCTTAGAACACTTTGGTGCTTATACGAAACCTATACTTGGACCAAGAAGCAGTCCTCAGAACAGAACAAGGAAACACTGCATGGTTCAAAATTAGGGAAGGTGTGTGTCAGGGATGCATCCTGTCCCCGTACCTTTCCAATCTGTATGCAGAACGAATCATTCGGGAAGCAGGGCTTTATGAGGAGGAGTGTGGCTTCAAGATTGGAGGAAGACTCATTAACACCCTACAATATGCAGATGACACAACTTTGCTTGCTGAAACTGAAGAAGACCTGAAGCCCTTGCTGTAAAACGTCAGGGACTGTAGTCTTCAATATGGATTGAAGCTCAACATTAAGAAGACCAAGATTCTCACCACTGGGCCAGTTGTCAGCACCAGATTAAATAGAGAAGGGATTGAGGTTGTTAGCAATTACAGCTTGCTCGGCTTGCATTGGGAAATATCTGTTGTAATGGACTTCTCCAGAGTGCTGAAGAGCAATGATGTCAGTCTAGATACAAAGGTGTGTCTAATCCAGGCCATGGTCTTCTCAATTACTTGTTATAACAGAAGAAGAATAGATGACTTTGAGTTGTGGTGCTGAAGAAGAGTCTTGAACATACCATGGACTATCAAGAAAACAAATAGGTCTGTCTTGGAGAGGGTGAAACCAAGACTTTTTAGTGGCTAGGATTAGCAGGAGTGACATCCACTTCCTAAATAACATGCCTCTGGAAACTATGAACTTTGATAAATGTTGATAGTTGTATGGGAGCTTTAGGCCTTTTGTTTATAGGGTTGCTGTGAGTCGTGCTCAACTCAAAGGCAATCAACAACAAGACAGATTTAATAATTTTTTTTTTTTTTTTTTACGTGTGTACCGTCAAATCGGATCTGACTGGTACAGGAGGCGATTGTTCCTCCTTCTTCAGCAGAGCATCTGGTGGATTTGAACCGTGCACCTCTGGGATTGCAGTGCAGTTTCCTACCACTAGGCCACCAGAGCTCGCCAGATTTAATAATTATTATCTGACTGCAGCCTACAATATGGATTGAGGCTCAATGTCAAGAAGACAAAGATTCTCACCACTGGACCAATTGGCAGCATCAGGATGGATGGTGAAGAGATTGAGATTGTACACAGCTTTAGTTTGCTTGGCTCTGTAGTCAACAGTCTTGGCACCAGCAGCCAGGAAATTAAAAGACGCATTGCGATGGGAAAGTCTGCTGTTAGGGACCTCTCCAAAGTACTGAAGAGCAGTGGTATCTCTCTGGAGACTAAGGTGCGTCTGATACAGGCTATGGTCTTCGCAATCACTTGTTATGCATCAGAGAGTTGGACAATGACCAAGGAGGATAGAAGAATTGATGCCTTTGAGCTGTGGTGCTGGAGAAGAGTATTGAGAATACCATGGACTGCTAGGAAAACAAACAGATTTGTCCTGGAAAGGGTTAAACCGGGTGGCTCCTTGGAGGCAAGGATTCTGAGGCTCCGTCTAACATACTTTGTACATGTTGTGAGGAGAGACCGGTCCTTGGAGAGGGACATCATGCTTGGGAGGGTGGAGGGACGGCGCAGGAGAGGAAGGCCCTCTATGAGATGGATTGATTCGGTGACTGTGATAATTGGAATGGGAGTGTCAGAGACAGTGCGATTGGCACAGGACAGAGCGGAGTTTAGGGCTGTTGTACATAGGGTCGCTATGAGTCGCAAGCGACTTGACGGCACATAACAACAACAACATTGGAAAGTTGTATTGGAAAAGAGTATTGGATATCTCATGGACTGCCAAAAGAACAAACAACTCTGTCATGGAGAAAGTGCAGCCAGGGTGCTCTTTTGAGGCAAAGGTAGTGAAGCTTTGTCAAGAGGTCCCAGTCCTTCGAAAAAAGACATTGTGCTCAGAATGGTGGAGGCTCTGCAGAAGGGAGGAAGACCCCAAGAAGATAGATTGACATAGGCAGTGTTACAGTAAGCTCAAATTTTAGCAGAGATGATGACGATGGCACAGGATAGGATAGGGTGTGGTTGGCTGTTCAGAGTCGCTATGACTTGTAGTTGACTCAAAGATATAGCAACCTATTGTAAAAAGTGTGGAGGTGGCTGCATCTGATCTCTGCTAACTCTACAAGAAGAGGGAACTATCCCCATCAATAACATCTATACTACAAAACCAATTGCCATGAGTTCAGACATTTCCACCATGCTTCCTATACCTACTTCTATTCTAACACCCACTGGCCCTCGTTGAGTTCACGGGTTCCATTAATTTCTCACAGTGGCCATACAGAATTAACAGAACCATATTCAAGTTTGTGGGGTTTATTTAGAGAGGTTAATAGGTTACAATTTAGGTTTATATTATAAAACTCTCTTGGTCCTGCCAGTTATGGTCTCTGTGTGTCTGCCTCCCAAGTCCTCTAGTTAGCTTAGCTAAAGGCTTCTGGCTCTGGTCATATGTGGTAGCAGTCCCAGGTCAGCTCTGTTCCCAGTCAGTCTCTGATTCTCCACTCCTGCTACTGTTCTTATTTTGTTCCTGGTCTCACTGCTGCAGAAATCTCTGTTTCCAAAGAACATGTTCTTCATGCTCTGCTGCTTTTATTTTTTTTTTTTTTTTGCTTTTTTCTGATAGCTAGAACCCCAATTTCTGCTGCTGAATTTGCTCAGTTTAAACTTGCTAGGATGGTAAAACTAGTCATTCCTCTCAAGGATAGTCTACAAACCCTAATTTCATGTTGCTACCCCATGGGTTTTCTTTACCTCATTCCCATTATTAGCTTAGCCACACTCAGCCATGCAGTGAAAGTCAAAACAAAGGGTTGTGAAAGTCATATTGACAATCCATGATCAAAGAGTAGTAAAGGACAAACTTATTATATTAGGAAGCAATAAAAATTATAATATGGTAGTATACTATTAGTAATAGTAGTGTTAATTTTGCAGAGTTTTATTTTATTAATATATGATATGATGCTTCAGAATTGCAGCTTAAAAAATGAAAACCAGTCTCTGAAGAAGAATATTTCAGCACTTATCAAAACTGCCAGAGTGGAAATAAACCGCAAGGATGAAGAAATAAGTAATCTTCACCAAAGGTAAGATTGATGCGTGTGGGTCTCTTTGTAAATCATTTAAGTGCTATTATGTTGCATTTTTTTAACCTTACTGTTTGTTGATGTTGTATACTGTCAAGTCAGTCTTACAGTTACCCTCCAATGAATTTTGATAGGAAGTAAATTGCCCCTGTTTCTCTCTCAGAGCAGCTGGTAGAACTCTGTGCCTTTGGGTTGGCAGTGCAACTCCTTACCACTAAGCCACCAGACTTCCTTTTTAACTTTGAGTGGAAGAAAATGAAAACTCTTCATTTTGTAAAGTATTTAAGATTTTTTTTTTTTTTTCGTTGCAGCTTGATACTTCTTTATTCTGGTAATGGTGCTTTTTTAGTATTTAAGATTTTACAGTGAGTAGTGATTGATATCCTAGTGGTAAATTATCATAGTTTTATGCATACAGTTATTAATAGAATATTACCACATACTATTTTCATTATATTCTGTTTCCTAGTACAGTGAGAGTTTGCTTTTAATTATCTTTGCTCCTGAGAAGATGATAGTGTATGTGTCATGGTTTCTTTTTGATCCCCCTGCCGTTGAGTCTATTCCTACATGTACTGACCCACATTGGATTTCTGAGGCTCTAGGTCTTTATTTGAGGAGACTGCCCATCCTTCTACTGGAGTGGCAGGCAGATTTGAACCACTGACCATTTGGTTAGCAGCACAGCATGTGTATCACCACATACCATTCCTTAACAGAGTTAAAAATAACAACTTTGCATCCTTGCTCATTTTTCTTACTCTAGTCTCAATTGTATATTATTTTCCTCTCAAATGATTTTCTACATTAATTTCACTCTTTCTTTTGATTGTGAGCTGTATTTTGTTCAATGAATTTTATATCTCCCTTTCCTAACTGTAACTCAGAATGGTTTTTTTAAACTTGCCAACTCCATATCTTCTCTTTTAGTTCACTCTTGAAATTTTCCCTCTATTAAAACAAACTCCAGTACCTTTATAAAGGCTCACATGCAATAGAAGCCATTTCTAGTGTTTGTAACTATGCTTATAGTGGCTGTTTCTAATCTTCAATTCATGACTTTAAAGGTTGCCCTGAAGGTAATCTTCCTTTAATCCATTGTAAACAAATAAAAACTCATTACCAAGTCAGAACTGACTTATATCTGACCCAGTATTGGGTTTTCAAGGTTATAAATCACTTGGAAAATTTCTTATCATTCCACCTCAGAGCCACTGGTAGATTTGAACTGCCAAAGGGTGTTGCCTTATAGATTAGCAGTGCCACTCCCTTTAGGTTAGGCCATGAGAGCTCCCTTATGGGAATAAAAGGAGAAAAAAAAGGTCATACAATAGTTGCCCTTTTGTAATTAACTTATTTTTATTCAACATAAAGTTCTTCAGATTAATACATTATTAAAATGTTTCGCAAACTTCTCATTATTATTGTATTATTTTGCGTATTCTTTTTGTGATTGACTAGTTTTTTTAAGCTTTGTTCATATTGTAGCATATGCCAAGACTTCATTTCTCCTGCTGATTATATAGTGTTTCATTAAGTTTGTTTCTACCTTTTGTCTATTATGAATAGTGTTACAGTCATTCTTTATATTCATAATATTCCGTTCTAAGTATGTACCACTGTTTATTTATCAATTCATCCTTGATGGACAATATAATGTCCTGTCCCCCCCATCTTTCTGCTATTGTGATTAATTCTGCAGTGTGCATACCCATGTTACTGTCTATTCATGTTACAGCTCTTAAATCTCTAGGATATTTATGTATAGGAGTGGAATTGCTAGATTGTAAAGTGGTATTTTATTTCTTGCTGTTTGAGAAATTTCCATATTATTTTTGTAATGATTGTACTACTTTACAGTTCAACCAGCAGTGAATAATAGTTCTGATCTCTCCAAAGCCTTGTCAGTATCTGTTGTTTCAACCTGAACTTTTTAAGTATTTTATAATATTTTCATTTTCTTTTTTTCTTTTTTTCGTTTTTCAGTAGTGAGAAGTAATTATATCTCTTAGACAGCAGCTGTTTCTGGTTTGTTCTTGTCTTCTAATGTGTAGATAATTTCCATAAAGTACTGATTTTCAATGCTTTATCACTCTGTCCAATAAAGTGAACTTCTAACAGGAAAAAATATATAAACTATAGAATTAGTTATCTCTCCTTTCATAGAAGCTAATGTGCAAGTATGACCTTAACATGTCAAACAATTTGGATTCTAGTATAGTTAAGCCTACTGTCTACTACAGCAATACAGATGATAAGATTTTTAATTGCAGCATTAATTATAGTGACCTAATACTTGCTCTCGAAGAAGTCAGTATGTGGTTAGTTTGGGTTGTATGCCTGTGTTGAAGAAAGTCTAGAATACTAAAACAAGAGCTGGGACAAAACGAAGGTGTTTGAGACTTCTTTGAAGGAGAGCAAGTGAAAGATTTTCTTGTTTGGATAAATAGCCCACTTAGCTGAAGGCTAATAATCTATAGATTGCTTTATAGAGAATAAAATTGATTTTGTTCGTGGGCATGCCCCTAAATTGTAAAGTAGGTATGTTCATGAAATTGGGAATAATATTACAAATCAGTAAAATACTTTTTTGTTGTTTTCCTTTTTCAACAGATTGTCTGAATTTCCACATTTTCGAAATAATCATAAAATTTCAAGGTCATCAGATACAGTTAGAGCTAAAGATCTTAAATCCAGATCTCCTCATTTGGATGAATGTTCAAAGACTGAACCTAGAGTGAAAAATGATGTCTCTAGGGATGTGCATCATAGTGCTTCACTGCCAAACCCTGGAAAAGAAGGAAAATCAAATCCTGAAAAAAGGAGCACTTCACTTTTGCCAACATCTACTGAAAAACATTGCACTAATGGCGTTTGGTCACGTTCTCATTATCAGTTTGGTGAGAGTAACTCAAGTGAAGATAATAGAAGAGAAAAAAAAGATACTAGACATACCCAATATAGTGGAGGAACTGATAGAGTACGCAGAGACTTTAGTACTAGCTGTGGTGATAGTGAACCAAGGAATACAGAGACAAATCAAAGGCTACAAGGACGTCCAGAGAAATTCGATAAAGGTGAACCAAAGGCTGAAGGCAAGCATTCAAAGTTTAAAAGTAACACAGATCCGGATCATCAGAGTGAACATGGTAACTCCTCTTGGGAGAAAGACATTTCTAGAGAAAGGTCACACATTAGAGTGGAGTCTCAAAATGACAGAAGACTAGAGAGACAACATCAAAGATCACAAAATATAAACAGAAAGGACCTTAAAACCCAGGACAAAGAAGAAAGAAAAATGAAACAAAACCCCAAGTCATTGGTAAAGCACCAGGATTACTGGAGAAGATCAAAACAAACTTTACTTCCTCATTCCAGGAATGAGATAACAAAGTCTTCTTATAATTCAGGTAAATACCACCTGGAAGAGAGAAGAGGAAGGGAAGAGTGTAAAAGAGAGAGAGGCGTAAGCAGCCATAGTTTTCAAGAGGGAAGATGTTCATCTTTACTTTCAAGCAATAGAGCTTACAGACATGCTGACTCCAAGGATACTGATGGTATGCACCAATGGGAGAATGCACCTTTAAAAACAGAAAGGCATAGGACTGAAGAGAAGAGGAAAAGAGATCAAGAAAGTAAAGATGAAAACAGACATATGAGAAATGAAAAAAAAACACCCACAGAACATTTACAGAAGACTGATAAAGAAACTAAGAAAACTGTTACTGATTTAAAGAGACAGAATGAGCCAAAAAATTCTAAAAGTGAAATTTCTGAGAGAGTAGAGGACAAAGAACTTACAGTGAAAGGTGAGAGTGGTCCAAATGAAACAAACAGCAAAGACTTTAAGTTGAGTTTTATGGAAAAATTGAACTTAACACTTTCTCCTGCTAAAAAGCAGCCTCTTTCTGAGGAAAAGAGTCATAAAAGAACTGATGGTCCCAAATCCAATGATGCTTGTAATTTGGAGTCCTCCATGCAGGCTGAAACAGTTCCATCTTCTAGTGAACATATCACAGAGGAAACCAAACCAAAGGTAGAAGCGAAAGATGCTCTTTCAGCAGCATCTGAACATAGGCTCAAGACTCCAGAAAGCAAAGTGGAGGAAAAAAATAGTCTCTTCGTTAAATCTGTTGAGAAGCTTGTGCCTTGTGATGTGTCTCTTTGTAGTGTAAAGACTTGCTTACCAGTACCTGTGGAAACAAACTATTCACAGCCGTTATCAACAGAAAGGAAAGAAACAGTTGATAGTCCAAAACCCACCACTGTAGTAATGGATACATTACAAATAGATACTTCCCAAAACTGTGACTCGAAATTGGATACCAAAACAAGCAGTGGTTTGAAATCTTCTGTTTCTGAAACTATGGAAATTAAAGCGAGTTTTTCAGCAAAAGTGGCTGAATCCAGAAAATGCACTACACAGCCAACATTTGGAGAAACTGGCATTTTGCCAGTGATAATTTCAGAAGCTAGGAACCCAAAACTTGAACCTTCTTTGGATACACCACTTGTGGAGAGTAAGTCTCACCACATAGAGCCTTGCTTACCAAAAGAAACCATAGAATCTTCAGTGCAGAAGACTGAGTTAATGGATTGCTCAGCAGAAATTGGTGAAACAAACTCAGTGTATCATGATGATGAGAATTCAGTTCTGAGCATTGACTTTAATCACCTGAGACCTATTCCAGAAGTCATCAGTCCTCTGAATAGTCCAGTGAGACCTGTGGCCAAAGTTCTTAGACTGGAAAGCCCATCTCAACTGCCATTATACAATAATAGTCATAAAGGTAACAGTTTATATTTTCTTTGTGTGTGTGTGTGTGTGTGTGTGTGTATGTGTGAATGTAAAATATATAGCAAAGTGAATCTATATCTTTTCATTTTCTGTTTTGGTCACATAGAGCCTACTGTTAGCTAGAAATGTACATTGCTCCTTTATGCTCTGATTTTAGGTACCTACAAAGAATATGTTGAGACAGATTATCTCAAATAATGTTTGTTTGCTTTCAGATATTTTTGCTCAAAAGTCAGTATCAAATTGAGGTGTAAAGTGTTGAAGCTAACATGAAATAAAGTTGTCTTGAGTTACTGGCAGATTCTTATCCGAGAGACTAAACTCTATTTTGAACATGGACTTTTTTTGCAATTTTTTTTTAATTATAAAATACATATAACTGTCTTAAGTAGTTCTTAAACAGTTTTTTATTGTACATGTCAGTGATATTAAATACATTGAGTATACTTAAGTGTACTAGTATTTATTTCCAGATCCTTCTTCTTAAGCATAAACAGAAAGTAAAAATGATAATAATGAAATAATAATGTTACCCCAACACAGACCCTAATATTCTGTCTTTCTATCCCTATAAGTAGGGACATAATCTGTTTTCTGTCCCTATGATTCAGAAAATTTTAAGACCTGCAAAGTGTCTGATAAGCTGAATAAGATTATTCCTCTTTATCGCACAGAGCAATTAAGGGATTCAAACTGTGTGCCTTTGAGTTGGCAGTGCAACTCCTTACCACTTAGCACAATCATTAAAATTCTGTTTTTTCTTTTGTAAATGAAAATTTAACATGTTGCTTATTATAAATGAGAACATTACTAAAGCCAACTTAAAAAGGCTACTAGGTTTGGTTATCTAGAAGTATAGTTTCTGTGAAATTAATGTTTCAGATTTAAAGATATTTTATATATCCATTTAATGCACATTATCTTTTTTACCTATTATTTTCCAAATTAGTGGGAATTCATTGTAGGATTAATGTTATTGTCTTATGGAAAATATCTTGAATATCTTGAATTCTAATGTTTATTGTTAATTTTCTTCAAATAAATGCATTATAATCTGTAATCAGTGCTGTTTCATATCAATTAATTTCTAGTATTTGTTTATAAAAATTTTGCTTTTTAAGAAGCTATACATAAAATAAATTGTTTTAGTGCTTAATTTTGTGGGGCTTCTTAAAGATGGAGATGTCAAATGACCAAGATTTAATGATCATGTGACTTAATACTTTTCTCTTCCGTAGACGTCTCTCCAGTAAATTCAGCTCATTCTACCTCCAAGACTCGGTCTGATGATCTCAATAAGGAAAATCAAAAACCAGTTTGTAAAACTGACAAATGTACAGTAGCAGACTTTCATAAAAATTCATCTTCAGATGAATTAGAAGAAGGAGAAATTGTAAGTGACAATGAAACCGCTCAACCACAGAAAAATTTTGAAAACAGTGACAAACCTAGAACTTCTGTTCAAATCGAGAATTCAAAGACTAACCAGGGAAGAAGGAAAAGTACTGTGCATTTGGATGAGGATAATAGAAAAACATCTATAAAGACCCATCATCATATCAGTAACAGATGCAGTAAGAGACTGACTGAAGCTCGCCAAGCTTCAAAACTAGGGAAGAAAGATAAAACTATGAGTACTGCCAGCCTGGAAAAAATTGTTCAAATTATTACTGCACCATCTTCCATACGAGAAGTTATGCAGATGTTAAGAATGATAAGAAAACATGTAAGGAAAAATTATATGAAATTCAAGGTAAAATTTTCATTAATACAATTTCATAGAATTATTGAGTCAGCAGTTGTGAGTTTTACATCACTAATAAAACACCTTGACTTATCCAAAATCTCTAAGTCAGTGACGACTCTACAGAAGAATCTCTGTGATATTATAGAATGTAAACTTAAGCAAGTTAAAAAGAATGGCATAGTTGATCGTTTATTTGAACAGCAATTACCAGATATGAAGAAAAAACTGTGGAAATTTGTTGATGAACAACTTGATTATTTGTTTGTAAAGCTTAAGAAAATCTTGGTAAAGTTTTGTGATTTCATAAACTTTGGAAGTGACAGCGATGATGGAAAATTTGAAAAAACAAATAAGGAAAAAGTACATTCAAATTGTCAGAAAGGGACTGTGGATAACTCCACCAAAGAAATAATTCAAGTAAACACCCCCAAGTCAGAAAACTCTGTGCATTTTAAGTCTTTACTAGGATGTCAAAAATCTGAAGAAAAACAGCAAAACCAAAGCAACCCCAGCATTAACACAGTGCAACATGACAATAAAAACAGTGTTAATACCTGTGCCAATGACATAAAGAACACTCAATCCAAAGAACAGGTCGTGGAACTAAGCTGCCCGAGCACTCCAAAGCTAGAAAAAACCGACAAGAGCACTGTAGAAGATGCTCAGGCATCTCAGCATGCAGCTCTGAAGCCAGAACGTGGCTTTGAAATTCTTACTGAGCAGCAAGCATCTAGCCTCACTTTTAATTTAGTGAGTGATGCACAGATGGGTGAAATTTTTAAGAGCCTGTTGCAGGGATCTGATCTTTTGGACAGTACTGTTAATGGTAATGAAAAAAATGAGTGGGAGTTAAAAACTCCAGAGAAACAGCTGCTAGAGAGCCTAAAATGCGAATCTATACCAGCATGTACTACTGAAGAACTGGTTTCTGGGGTGGTTTCCCCAAGTCCTAAAATGATTAGTGAAGACAATTGGTCTTTATTATCATCTGAAAAGGGGCCATCTCTGTCTTCAAGGCTTTCATTGCCAGTTCATCCTGATGTGTTGGATGAAAGTTGTATGTTTGAAGTATCTAGTAACGTATCTCTAAGTAAGGATAATTTATGTAATGCAGAAAAGAGCAAGCCCTGCATTTCTTCCATACTTCTTGAAGATCTAGCCGTTTCTTTAACAGTACCATCACCTCTGAAGTCAGATGGTCATCTCAGTTTCTTAAAGCCTGAAGTTTTGTCTAGTTCAACCCCTGAGGAAGTTATTAGTGCCCATTTTAGTGAAGATGCATTACTTGAGGAAGAGGACGCATCTGAGCAAGATATTCATTTAGCTTTGGAGTCTGACAATTCCAGCAGTAAATCAAGTTGTTCTTCATCATGGACTAGCCGGTCTGTTGCTCCAGGCTTTCAGTACCATCCTAATCTACCCATGCATGCTGTCATAATGGAAAAGTCAAATGACCATTTCATTGTGAAAATCCGACGTGCAACACCATCTACCACCCCTCCTCTTAAGAAAAGTATCATGACTGATGAATCATTGGCATATTTGCCTACAGTGGGAAAAGAAGCTGATGATGCAACAGAGAAAGAATATATTTCTTGTGAGAACTCAGTTTTTAAATCTGTGGCTAAGTTGGAGAAATCCAGTCAAAACGGTGGTGGTAATAGATTGGCTAATGAAGACCAGAACTCTCTAATACAAACACAGGTTCCTGATATATATGAGTTTCTTAAAGATGCTTCAGGTAAAGTGAATGATAGCAATGAAGGGGCTGAGGAGGGCTTTAAACTGCGTCAAGAAGTTTGGGGACCAAACCCTCCTGAAATCATTGAAGAATTGCCTTCAGTGGAAGAAACGCCACCGTCTGTTGAAAATCATCTTCCAAACACATACATAGACCTAACAAAAGATCCAGTCACTGAACCTAAAAACTTGGGAGAATTCTTAGAAGTAACAGTTCTCAATATTGATCAGGTAGAATGTTCTGGAGGCAACTTGGATCAAAATGCTCCAATATTAGACAGCTCCTTACAGTTGGATACTGTGCGTTCGTTTATTGATTTGACACAGGATGCTTCAACTGAAAGTAAAAATGACGATAACCATTCTGCTGTAGCTGATGGAGATGTGGGGTGCCAAGTGATATGTGTAGAGGAAGGGAACTGTGAAGAAGAAAAACAGTGTGTGGCAAAAAGGCCCTTGGAGTGCATTGCGGAGGAAGCCTGTATTGATTTGACCACAGAATCTCTCAGTCCATGCGAAGTAAAGGATGATTTAAAATCAGTGCCCAAACCATCATTTTCTGATCGCTCAGAGTTGCCTGGGTCTTTGGATAATGCCCACAAAAAAAGAAAAAGTGTTTCTGATCTAAATAATTCTACTCAAAAAAAACAAAGAATGGAAATAGACTTAACCTGTAAGAAAAAGGTCAAGAAAATCACTGAAGAATCTGGTGAGAATGATGAAACTTGCCCCAAAAAAGCCAATAAGAAAAGGACCCCTGCAGTAAATAATGACCCTTCATCACCAAATGCAAGCCCAGGGATGCAGGATTTGCCAGGAGCACCGACCACTTCTCCTCTGAGCCTTTCTGCAAAGAATGTTATTAAAAAGAAAGGAGAAATTATAGTTTCATGGACAAGGTAAGAATCTTACTTAAATCACTAGGATAAATCTCATTTAAATCACCAGGATATTGTGAGAGGCCAAAAATATGTCTTAATTTTGTATACCCTTAATTAGGTAAATAATTACTTTAAAAGTGGCCAAAGTTGAAAGAAATATATTTCAGAGTATAGTCCTGTTCCTATGGAATGGGATTGACTAATAGCTCTTAACTGGGGGTGTATATTAGTACCACAGAATTCTTTTCATAGAGGGAACAGGTATGAACACATTTTAGAAAGGAATAATAATAGAAACTGAGAGAAACCAAAAGGTTGGAATGTTTATAATTTGAATTCTAGCACTGAATTTAAAGTTTCATGAGTGAACTGTACTTTTGACTTTTGTATGAACTTTTAAAGAAATAACACATTTCTAGAACCCACTCAGACATAAAGATAATCGCTGAATTATTGAAATAAAGGTTCACAATTTCCATACTTGACTAGAATGTTTCATGTGGAAAGGTGGATTTTCCTAAACTTGCAGTCATTTTGTTGAATGCTACAATGCTCTTTGAGTTCCTTTTGTAACTTGTGGGTGGCAGAATAAAAATCTCAGGAGATTTTGATATTACACATTTATTTAGACCAACCAGCAAAAGCAGAAATAGCAGCTCTAGGTCCTTTTATGTCTCTGATTCTTCTTCTTAAGTCTGTGATCATCTTGGGACCTTGATTTTTTTTTTAAAGTATCATATACATTAAAGGTAGAATAAAAAATAAACTTTAATCTTGTCATGCATATAGAATACATTGGTTGTAGTAAGTATAGATGAGCTCAAAGATTAAAACTTGCCATAATATTCTTTGTCAGAGATATCATTGTTGATACTTTGTTACATACACATTTTTCTGTTGGTATAAACAGTGTTACCCCAAGTTGGTAGACAGTAAAATTTTTATTTTCCTTCTATTCTAATGTACAAAAGTTAAACCATATTTTTTTTTCCTTCAGAAATGATGATCGGGAAATTTTAATGGAGTGTCAGAAAAGAGGGCCATCAGTGAAAACATTTACCAGCTTAGCTGCCAAGTTGAATAAAAATCCAAATCAGGTAACTACCCAAATTTTCACATGTCTGTTGTATCATAGATGTTGCTATTCTAAATATTTAATTTTAAAGTTTATAAAATACTGAATATCAGCCAGCTTTCTTAAAAGTATGCTTCTTGTAGGACTGTTGACTAAATGAACAGAGTTGGTTGAAAAGATTCAGAATTTTTGGTTGTCATCTCATAATTTTTTGCTCCAAAGCAGAAGTGTAATGCTTGCTTGTTTAAGTAAGCTTTAAGCAAGCATTCATTTTTTTCTATGAAGATATTTCCTTAAACACATTACTGTTATGGAGGATAATATTTTTTCTTTAGATGTATATGACAGCTTTGTTCAGTGATGAAAAAACATAATTGAAATATTAATAACAATCATTTTTAATTTGTTAGGTCTCAGAAAGATTCCAACAGCTAATGAAGCTCTTTGAAAAGTTAAAATGCAGGTAGGTAATGACTACACTTCAAGATACTAGTAAAGTAATTGTTTGATCTTGTAATTATGCAGTTAATGACCTGTTGTTAGTCTTTGGAGATGTGCGTAAAGGGTGAGAAGCATCCAGTTGGGTTCCTGTTTCAGTCACTGATTGGTAATGATGGCTTGTGCAGGCATCTAAGGCCACCTCATCCCGTGATGTTTGGGGGGAAGCCTGCTGCAGTTGAGATCAGTAAGGCATCTCCTTAATCTCCACTTGCTGATGAGTCATTCAAAGGAGGGAAGAAATCCATTTGATGATTTAAATATAAGTTTATAGATGCAAAAAAACCTAAAGACTACAGTCTTAAATAGAAATATGCTTTATAACAAATAGAATCTGTATACTCATTATATTTCACATATTTAATTAGGAATGACTAAAATATTTTAAAATTAATACAAAACAAATGAATAAACATCAAGTCCTTTGTCATCTGAATAGCTAACAGTTTATGTTAACATTGCTAATAGTGTACATATAATCAGTTATTTAAGGGATTTTTTTTCAGGTTTATTAAGGCAGTAATATTTAAATTAACAACAGTTTTCCTTTAAGAGCTGAGTCAGAATTACTTAAATATTTTATATTTTTATGTAAGGAAAATTTCAGTTGGTATGTCATAATCATTTGAACCATAAGCACTCAGTTTAAAAAGAAATTATTCCACCAGATGCTCTGCTGGGGAAGGAGGGACAATCTCCTCTTGTACCAGTCAGATCTGATTTGACGGTACACTCACACAAAAATAATAAAATAAAATAAAATTTAAAAAGAAAAAATTAAATCTGAATAAAGAATTTATTTTGGCATAGATCTTTGAAGGGTTTTGAATATTTTTTAATTTGGTATCCCTGTACCTCTATTTCAATTACTATCTTTAGATCACCTGTTACTTTTCTTTTCTTCTTGAAGCAACTAATTTGCTAATGACATCTTCAAAAGATATTTAATAATCAACCATGAAGTTGGGTTTCTTTAGAATTCAGAAATATAAGGTTGAAAAATGGAGAACTTGGAGTTCTTTAGAGGAACCTTTAAAAAACAACTTAAGGGTGAGAAATGGTCTGGCTAATTTTTCAGATTACTGTAAAATTTTTTCTGCCACTAAAAACTGAAAAGGATTTCTTTTGTCTTAAATGTTACCTTAAGATTTTTATGTTCAGAAATGAAGAAAATGTTAATTTGTGAAAGAATTATCTGGTGGTGGTTATGTGTTACTGAGCTGGCACCAACTCATAGCTGACTGTCCCGTGGGTTTTCAGAAGATATACAATTGCATGAGAGGAGATTGTCTATCTTTCTCCTGCATAGCGGCTAGTACATTCATACAGTGTGCCTTTGGGTTGGCAGAACATCATCTTCCCAACTAGGCCATCACTCTATTATATGCTAGTAATGATTTTTGTAAACTTGAAATTTCCAAATTCCATTATGAATCAACATTTCCATAATGGATACTATATTTGTGATGTAATTTGCTTGTATAATAACATATGTAGTTAGTTATTTCATTGCTAGATGTTTCTTAACTAATTTATTTCCTTTAATACTATAATCAGATTATATTCAAAGAACAACGATAAATTTACCGAGTCTGTAGAGTAATGCTATTGTTGTTGTGTCCCTTGGAGTTAGAATCAACTCATAGCTGATCTCCAGTGGGTTTTCAGAGGCAGTTATTTGTCTTGAAGGAGACTGCCCATTCTTCTGTAGAGCAGCTTGTGGATTTGAACCATGTGCTTTTGGGATTGGAGTGTGACTTCTTACCACTAGACCACCAGAGCTCCCTGTAATGCTAGTTCTTTAATATCCATGCCTTCCAAGTAGAACTTATTTTAAAAGATAAGTGCTTTTGTGCAGTGGTAGTGTAAAAAAAATATAATAACCTTAGTTTCTTTTTTTACATTACAGATGAGTTGCTGAATTCCTTGGAGTCTTTATTGCTATTTCATACAGAAGCTTGGAATTCTCCATGTTTTAAATGGGGAGCGAGAGAGCATTTTTATTTTCTATGTCAGAGTTTTGATTACTAGGTGATCTGCATTCGTTATTACTTGCTAACTTAAGTCAGCATGCTCACCTTGTTGCAGTCATTAATATGACTTGCTTGCTGCTTAATGGCCAAGATACTTATTTTTAAATGTTAGAATTTGGTATCAAAATGAAAGCTACAGTCATAATGGTGGTATTGACAGTTTAGTTTTGATATTTCAAAGATTTTCCTAGATTTTTGAAAAGTGTTTTGCAACATTTTAAACCTAACAACTGTTTACTTCAAGTTTTCATCCATTTTTATTTGCTTTTCTAATTTCTCTCATTTTGGTTAATGTAAAATAATTTAAATAGTATAATTGTAAATCTGTATGATTATAATAATGTAAAATACTTCTGTGTGTACACACTTAAATGTGTAGTCAAGGATTTTTTTATCTGTATAAAACTGTATAAAGTTTGCTTTCTATAACAGTGATGTATATTAATAAACCATGTAAAATTCTGTTATATTTTGGCCAGAATGTTTGTTTTATGTGTTTAAATTACAATTAATCATTTGGGGTTTTTTTAATAAAGTTTATTTTATTAATTTTAATGAACATTTACAGAGATTTTGGATTTCCATTCATTCATTCATTGTTGCATTTTTCTCCCCCACCCCATCCCTGCCCCATTCACTCTTCTCTTTGAAAAGTAAAAGAAAAATTCCTTCATTGGTATATAATCCCACGCCCCAAGTGCACTCCACTATGCAACCTTAATTCTGGACTCTTGTGATAACCATAATACCCTATCATATTTCACTTTTAAGCTGTTTTTTCCCCTCATCTGTTTCAATGCAGTATACATAATTTATCCAGTTTTTTTCAGTCTTAACCCAACCCTGATGTCAGTCCCATTCTACAACAGTGGTTCAATGCAGTATTTGTCTTTTTGTGACTAAGACATTTTACTCAGCATAATGTCCTACAGGATCACCCATTTTTAATAATATTGCATGTGTTCCTTGTTTTTCAATGCAGTGAAGTATTCCGTTGTGTGACTATACCACAGCTTCTCTATCCATTCATTTGTTGACGGGCACGTGGGTTGTTTCCAACTCCTTGCTATTGTGAACAAAGCCGTGATAAACATGGGTATATATATATCTACTTGGATGTCATTTATGGTCTCTTTAGGGTATATTCCCAGTAGTGGAATTGCTGGGTCAAATGGTATCTCTATTTGCAAGTTTTTGAGAAAGCATCACACCGCTTTCCACAGTGGTTGCACCATTTTACACTTCCACCGTGAATAATGGTTCCAGTCTCTCCACAACCTCACCAGCATTTGTTGCTTGCTGAATTATTTTTAATATCATATTTGTACTTTATCATAATATACATTTGGAGTACATTTTCAAAACTTTTATAACACCTAAAAAGTCCCTGGGCTTGGCTGCCATGAGCTCTGTCTCTAGGCTCTCTCTCACCATATTCAGTCCTACAACTCTTTTTTTTTTAAAAAAAGTCCTACAACTCTTGACCAGTGTCACAGCTGTTTTGGGAAGCTCTTTGCACTGTCTTCTCTTTTGCTGCTTCTCATTTCTACCTGCCTGTTATTTGGTTTTCTGTCTTATAAAACCTCTGTGGAGTGTTTTCTGTATATATGTATATGTATGTATGTATGGCACCAGCAGCCAGGAAATAAAAAAATGTATTGCGATGGGAAAGCCTGATGTTAGGGACCTCTCTAAAGTACTCAAGAGCAACAGTGTCTCTCTGGAGACTAAGGTGCACCTGATACAGGCCATGGTCTTCACAATTACTTGTTATGCAACAGAGAGTTGAACAATGACTAGGGAGGATAGAAGGAGAATTGATGTCTTTGAGCTGTGGTGCTGGAGAAGAGTATTCAATGTACCACGGACTGCCAAGAAAACAAACAGATTCATCCTGGAGAGGGTTAAGCCAGGCTACTCCTTGGAAGCAAGGATTCTGGGGCTTTGTCTGACATATTTTGGACATGTTGTAAGGAGGGACAGGTCCTTGGAGAAGGACATCATGCTTGGGAGGGTGGAGGGGCAGTGCAGGAGGGGAAAACCCTCTATGAGGTGGATTGTTTCAGTGACTGGGGCAATCGGGATGGGTGTGTCAGAGGCAGTGCAATTGGCACAGGATAGAGCAGGGTTTAGGGTTGTTATACATAGGGTCACTATGAGTCGCAAAGGACTCGACGGCACGGCATATAACAACAACAACAACAACGTATATATGTATGTATTTTACACACACATACAAAGCAAACATACATTTAACTCCTTGTCACTTTTGAGGGATTGCCCTCCCACTGGGACATGTACTGTAGATGCTTCATTTTGATACTAGGTGTGTCTAGGCTGTAATGTATCTTATTTATAGAATGTTTTGACCAGACTGTGTAGGGATGCCAGGGATGCATCCTGTCTCCATACCTTTTCAACATGTATGCAGAGCAGATTATCCGAGAGGCTGGGCTCTATGAGGAGAATTGTGGCATCAGGA